TTCGACACCTACTGAGGTGTAATACGGATACAATGCAATTCGATGCGTTTTCATGAAATGACACCCGCGACGACGGGGAATAGAGCTGGAATCTATAAGATATTTTTTTTCGACTAGTACTATTTTAGCAATAACTATTATTATTTTTATAAAATTACACATCAATTTTCATTAGATAATGGATTCGTATGTGGATTATATACTGTAGGTATACCAATAAAACCATATCGGTTCACCAAATTCGATAATTATTTTTCATTTTAATACTACGTTTTATAACGATTGAAAACTTTCAAAAAATGTTCGATTTTTCCCCGTGACGACACGACGGTACAATATATAATAATATTGTAAACCTTCCGTACGAATGTATTGCACGACACAGCCGTTACGTGTTATTGTGCCGGGCATCCATGGTGTTCACCAACATTATGCGCACTGCACCAGTGTTTTTCGACCGTTTATCATTTCGCGAGAACCGGTTACGGCACATAATAATAATATAAACTCGGCGGATTTTTACAACACACACACCTGTAAAATATGAGATTTATGTTTTTTCTGGGTTATTTATATACCCATCCGCTATATAGTAATATAAAAGTAATAATAAAATTTAGAAAAAAAAAAAAATGAAATATTAGGTACTAAAATTACTGAAAAACCGAATTACGAAGACAAACATGGTATTAATTTTGTTGTAAATAAATTAAACGATTATATATTATTCGTGACAGTAAAACGACATTCAATTTTTAATAAAAATATGTATTCTGCGTGCAGTGTGTACCGTTCGAAATGTATGAAAAATTAATCTAAACGCGTAAATATCGCGGCATTAATTTTCGGGCACAGGTGATTTTTGTTTTTTTTTTTTTTTTTTTCCTATAGAACTCCTATAGAACACCTATAATATACAATATAATAAATGTAACTGGTTTTCGTACAATTTTCACAGTATTAATCAATCTAATGTGGACAGCTTGTAATATGTGCAATATATACGGTAATTAATCATCGGTGAATCATATTTCATTAAACGCAAATAAAAACCGACAGACCGTGTTGTACGGCCGCGTAAAAATAGTGTCATTTATTCGATATTCATTACAATCGATTATTATGGTAATAATAATAATGGGGGGGGAAAAAAACCGAGCCGGACATACTTCGCACCGCGGATATTGTTTTGGACGGAAGTTGCTGGGAAAGTATAGGATACAGTGTATGAAAATTATTTAATTTATACATAGGTAGGTACCGAAACCAACTGTAAATCGTCGCGATCAAAATCTAGTAAAATGACACGGTTATTATTAGATTCTGAGCGAAGCTTTTACTACCGTGCGCGTTTTTTCTATCTGTAAGCAACAAATCTGGTAGAAATGTTTTTTTTTTCCGATTTTAAGGAGTAGCATTTTTTCTGGAAGCACGTTTTACCCGTAGTTTACGCACTAGACTTACGCACCTTTAATACACTGGTTGCTATTTGAAAATCAAAAGTAGATAGCGAAGGCCAAGGCCAAAAGTAAGAGCGACAAAAAAAAAAAAAAAAATGGTAATGTCAAAATTGACAAAATATTATTTTTCCTATCTATCTGTCTATCTGTCTCCCGTTAATAGTCTTCGAAGATGCGTGAATCGACGTCATTAAGACGAAGAATCAGAAAGCCACCTACGTTTAATATAGAGTTATGGAACCAATGTTGCGTGACACCGTTTAGAGGAGTTACCTAAAACTAACGACTCCAGCTCCGTCGGGTAACGAGTACGGTTAATTTTTTTTTTTTTGCAATTTAAATAACAATTAGCTCTAAAATAGCGCATTACGATTATTTTTTTGTTTTACCTTCGGTTTCAGGTAGGCGAACCGTATATCAACTTTTGATTTCAGTCGCCCGTTAACGAGACGTTCGACCGCGGGCGCCGTGTCTGGGGGGCGACCGGGCGGCCTTTGCACACCCGGGTTTACAATCGGCATCCCCAACGAGGTTTTCCCGTAGTAACGATATTGCACGCACGAAACTTTAAACGAAACGCGTAACTGCTTATTGTAAGAGCCGCGGTGTAAAGTGGATTGCGGAAGAACGGGCCCTACGAGTGTTCGGCGTGCCTGTAATTTCAGCGTCCCCCTAAGCGGGCGGTCTAGTCTCCGATTCTCGGAGGGCGATCCGGACCGTTCGAACGGCGGCGCGCGATTATCGACGCACCGACGCCAACGGTGCGGACGTTATCGCGATGGCCGTATAGGTACGCCCGGGTATATTTTCGAAAACGTTGCGCGTTCGCCGAACCGAACGTTACAATAAATTTCGCGGCGCGCAACGCATATATTATTATTAAGAGTGCGGCAACGTTAAATTTAATAATATTCCGCGGTTCGTTATATAAACGTCCGTGTACGCGGATAAATAATAACGCCACGTCAACGTAAATTACGGCGATTTTATGCGCCGACCTCTCTCTGTATAATAATAATAATGTCTGTTGCGATATATTATACGCGAGAGGACTTTCCGATTCCGAGTGCGCGCGGCGTGCAGGTATACAATAATTATAATTAACATAATATCGTAATTTATCGTCGGTTACATCGATCAAAAATAATAATAATAATAATAATGTAAGCGCGCGCGCGCCGCGATACGGCGATAGTTGTACGCGGCACGCTCGCCGTGTGCGGCGCTCGTTCGGGTCGCGCGAAATTGTCGGAGTTTTCGAAACACGGAACACGCGGCCGTTTATCAGCCGCCGCGAGTCGCTACGACAGACGCCCGCCCGCCAATACGCGCGCGATATATCCCGTCCGGTTCGCACGGCCGCGTAGATACCGTCTCGTTATCCGACAGCGACGATCGACCGCCGCGACACGGGAACGCGCGTTTCGAAAAAGCGCGGCGGATCGGATTCCGCGACGGGTGCGGCGCGCGCGAACCGCGCCGGCCGTTGGCCCGCCCGCGGCGCGATAACGGCCCGGGCAAATTAACGGACGTTCGCCGTTCGCCGTACTCACCGTACCGCCGAGCGTGTACAATTGTGATAACAGCACGCGGGAAAACAATTATTTTCCGACGGCGGCGCGGACACCGGCGGGTCTTGGGGCACATCGGATTTCAGGGCGCGCTTTTTAATTATTATTCGATTGGAAACCCGCGAGGTGCGTAGCCCGCTTTACACGCCGCATTAATACCGGGCGGCTGTTCTGATATAATGCTATAAAACTACTTGAAATTCTACTAAATCACGCGGTCTCACGAACTTGTCACGAGAAAAAGGATTTAAACGGAACGACTTTATTCAATTATAAAGAACTTAGAGGTATTCCGGTCAGGTGTTTGTACAAGCGGTTCATTATTATGTACCAATTAAGTAAAATTACCACTAAACAAGAAAATAAACGGGAAAACGGGGCCGATGACGCAAGTTAAAGTATAGGTAATAAATTCTTAGATTATTTTGGTCCGAAAAATTTGAACGCTTCGCTAAAAAAATATATTTTTAATAGTGTAAATATAAGTATGCTTACAACTTAAATAAAAAAAACTATTGTAAACTGGCTGTTACTTGAACTTTAATTATAACATAAAAATATAGGATACACGTGGCTCAAATATTGGAAATGATTTATATACTCGTATATATATATATATATTTTATTGTCTACTAACAACTCATTTACCTCGCCACAAGCCTTGCTTAATGGGGTTTTAAAATAATAATACATTGTAAATTATTATTCTAATAAAGAAAACGGACGGACACAAGTGAGTGCAGTTACTGTTGTAGGCGGGAAGTCGAGAAAGTACGATACAGACGGCAATTTAATGTACATCTGTAAGCAACGATAAACCATTGCTAATGAAAAAACGATTCTGAGCAGAGTTCAGTTGATATTGTTGATTTTTCAACAATATATATATATATATATATTAATTTGACCATAAGACATAAATGTCATACGGCCAAATGATTACAACAATGTGCGTTTCCATGACAACAATGATTGTTTAAAAAACATTAAAATAATAAAAACCTGATAATAATAAAAAAATAAATAAAAACGGTTGTCAATGACAACCTTATTTTAAGTTTTTTAATCTCTTTTAACCTAAAGAACCAGGTTTTCCTCATTATCTCGAATATTAAAGAGAATTTCAAAAAAATGACCTCTTCAAAGTGCCATCCAGAGAACATTTTCTTTCAGAAAAGGTTCTATGCTTGATAATCTGAGTAAGTTATGTGGTAGATAAAGTGTTCGCATAAAAAAAATAAACATTAATGTAAAACCGATACAATGCTCGTTCTACTCAGAACCTAAAGAAAAATGTTATTTTAGAGTAGATTCCCAGTTATTAGATTTTGCTTGAAAAATAACCCTTAATACCACTCTTGAGTGGTAGCTTTCTATGGTGTACCTCACCGTGACAATTCTGTCTCCCGCGGATTATATTCCGACACTGATAGTATTTATTTTTTATTTTTTTACATATTATAAACAATCTTTAAATTGTGCAAAGTGGAACCGGACTGTGGTTTAAGGTTGATGATATTTATATACGATCGATCATAATACGCAAATTTGTATTAATTTTATAATTGAGATGAAAAAATTAAAATACTTTTGTGTTGATATTTCAAATTACTGTTATTTCTGCAAACATAAGTATATACACGTTTTAAAACTCGATACGCGCGTTTTTAATTCAGAGGATACGCTATTTTTGAGGTTTTTAATGGAAGGTGATTTTTTTTTTCTTTTTATTATTTTTGACAATGTCCTTTTTCACCGATACCTAGTCAAAGATTCGACTCTATCCTGATTCATAATGAAAAACCTATTGGATGTGCCACATTTAATTTACACGGTGAAGAGTTAACCATAAAAATGCAAAATACCCAATTTTTTCTTCGTTTCAGTTTATTTTACAAAACATATCTGTTAACGCAAAAATAATATTGAAATCCTTTTGACAGTACAATTAATAATTTAGCATTTCGCTCTAGTTATTGGTAGTCCGGTCGTTGCACACTTCCCGTTTGAACGCGTTTTCCGCACAGGCGACGAGCGATTGTCGAACGAAACCGGGCAATTTACTCCGGACGGCCGACTTCACGGACGCGGGAAATTTCTCGGGCAACTCGTACCGGAGATCGTCGATTTCGACGTCCGTCTCGACGCGGCGGCACTCTGGACGGCCGCCGCCGTCGGCAGACGACTTGTACACGGCGAAACGGATTCGCGTGGGCTTTGCGACGCTAAATTCGACGGACAGGGCTCGGGCTGGTTGGCCGGCGAGCGTGGCGGTCAAGTCACCGGTCCATTTCAGCCCTTCGACGATCACGTCAAACCGCAATTCGTACGCGTTCCGATCCGCGCGCCCGCGGGTGTACGACACGGAATCGATTGTCTGCTGGACGCGCGTCAGCGAAGACTGCCGCGGGCCGATGTTGAACATGCGCGCGCTCAGGTCGCCGTCGGTCCAGTTGAAATCGCGGAATCCCGTCAAGCGGTCGTCGTCGGCGACTGCGAACGCCGGGGTCGTCATCTCGGCCTTGAGCCGGGCCACCATGCCCTTGTACGTGGAGTCGTACACTTGTTTGGCGATCGCCTTTTCCAAGACTCGCCGGTACTTTCCGGCGACCAACGACTCGTTAACCGCGTCGGCGGCGGCGGCGGCGTCCCGATCGTTCGCGGCGTCCGCTTCCGCGGTCACCGTGGCCGATACGGCCGCGCTGACGGCCGGTCCTCTGCCGCGGTGACGGAAGCTGGCGGACACTTTGCTGCGAACCGCGTCCGCGTCGACGGCGAAACGGCCCCCATTACGCGGCAAATTCGTCGTGTACGTACCGTTGACACGGAGGTTTTCGAACGCGCATTCGACGTAAACGGTATCCTTTGCCGGGTTAACGGACAGATATTCCAAACGTCCGTGTTTCAAGTCGCGCAATTCGGCGCCGTGAAAGTGCACGAAATTGTGTTTGGTAATTTTCACCGTCGACTTCTTGACGGGCAACGGGTCGTCCAAGTCCAATAGCGCGGCGCCGTTGCAGCGTCCGTATTGTTCGGCTACTATCGCGTCCAACGCAGCGATTTTGCGCATAATAACACTGGATCCGCGCGGGACCGGACCGCCGACACCGCCGTTCCCGTTTCCAATCTCGTCCTGCGTGCCGCTCGCCATCCCGGCGTCAGACCCGAAAGACTCGGCTGATCGGCCGACAACCGGTTGGTCTGCGTCGGTCGGCCTGACGTTGTCCCCGTACGAATTTCCACCTCCGTCGACAGAGCGTTCATTGCCGTCCGCAGGGGTTTCCGCGTTTTTGTATTCGGGCCATTCCGCAATGTGGCCGAACCCATTGTTATCGTTGCCGTCGTACGACGTCGATGTCCCGCGCGACATCAGACCGGCATCGTTATTTGTACGGTCTCCGTGTCGATCCAATAACGAATGTCGGTCCGCTGAAATTAAAAAAAAAAACAATAAAACTATACATAAATACTTTCGTCGATTTAAAATTATAACAACCGTAGTATATTTTAAATTCCGAGTGGGACGACGAGTGTACTGGTTTTACTATGTGATGTTTAATTCTCTTATACCGTGTAAGAAAATTCTACCGGAAATTTTGCTCCGATACATACGCGTGGCACCATTCCCGAAAGGAAATAGTGTCCAGATGGTACTTTTGAGAAGTCGTTTTTCGATTTTCACAAAACTTATGTTTACCTTTTCTAGACGTGGTCGATTTTTCAACAAATTCAAGTCAGTTTTTTAGATATCTATAGACATTTTAATTTTTGCAAGTTTTGTACGTAATTTGTATTTGGTATCTAGTATTTGGTATGTAGTTCAATCGTTAACTTAACAGAAATGCTCGGAAATTTAATGGAAGGTTTATTAATCATAATTTGTGGTGAAAAAAAAAAAGTTTATTTTAGTATTTTTTTTTTTTTTTTTATATATAGGAATTTGAAATTTGAATAAAGTAAAATTTTAAAATTTTAAACTCACTATTTTAAAATAGTGAGTGGAAATATCTGAGCTTTTTACCCGCCAAAAAAGCGACTTAAAAACCGCACATCAAAAAAAGCAACATTTTGGAAGAAGTATCGGGAATTTTGATAATTTGTTCAAATAAGAAACAACTATTCATCGGGCGAAAAAGAGACATGAAATGAAGAATTTGAAATAAAAATGCGATTTACGATAAACACATCTTTATAATAATAACATTTTTTTCGTTATACTCATCAGAACCTAAAATGTTAAATGTAAACTCAAATACAAAAGAATAAAGAAGAATTTTCTTATAGCTAATAGGCTTTTGCATTGTGTGCGTTAAAATAAAAGTAATACAAAATTAGTAATACTATAGATTTTAAATATAATTTTTAAATTACTTGATTTTACGATTTTTGTCAACAGTTTTACTTAAGACGCTAATCAAAAAGAAACTAATACGCTCAACCCTTTTTTCCTACTATTGAATAAAACTTATTAAAATTCGGTATAAATTATCCAATTATTTCTGTTCGGTCAAAACAATATTTTATCCGCATATAACCAAGTAAAAATTAAAAAAAAAAAAAAAAAACTAGAAAATATGAAATGCAAATAAATGGATTGATCGTCAATACGTGTTGACAATTTTACCGCGTCTAGACAATGCTCATATAAATATTTTGTATAAATGTCAGATTCTCACGAGTATTTTCTACACAATTGCAACTAAAATAACAAAACTTAAATACATTTTTATTTTATTTTTTTAAGAAAATTTTCCAATATTTTACTCTTTTCTAGTTTTTCTCGATGATTAAGAAAACTCCGAAAAATTAAAATTTCCTGTATCATGTACCGACTAAGCAAAGTTTGCGTTCGTCAAAGATGGTACACCTGAAGGTCAAAGCGAGATTCCTCGTAGAAAATTTGTTTACACGCAGAAAAAAACACACAGTAAAAAGCATTCGTCGCTGCGTTGCGAGTCGAAAATTCACAATTTAAAGAGAAAATATTACGCTATACATTTTAATAATTGTACGTACGGATGATGGCCGTCGTCGCTCCATAAGCCACGAAATGCGTCGAGAGCAACAGCGCAAATGCACCAGGTATCTTCATCGTTACGACTGAATAAGATTTCGGTAAACGCGAGACGTATTTATGTGAAACGAAATAATAAAAAATGTCGACGATGCGGTACTCGAAAGTGCACGAAAGCGCAGAGCAGAGCAAATTACGTGAATAATAACAATAATAATAATAATAATAATAAAAAGAGCTTAATTTGTATTAATATTATTATTTCTTTTTTTACCGTTACAAAGGAAAATAATCGTCCGAATACACCTGCATCAATTCAAACGTAATTCTGACGATCACTCACTGCAATAATATTGCACTTGTCCACGTGGTGGGTACTGTAATCGCTAGACCTAATGGATTAATCGGAATTTTTTTGTTTTTTTTTTTTTTTTATTAACATTTTCCACTGATCAACAGTGATTAAAATGTACACACATAGACGTTTTTTTGTTTTTTTACTGAAAAACGACGCGAGGAAATAATTACTATTTATCTATATACAAGGCTAGTTTATAGGTTAGAAGCCACGGAAATCTGAGAAATGTGCGATTACTTTATTCTATTCAGTATATTTAAGTACCTACTTTTTTCTTCTTTTTTTGTTTTCAATAAGTAATTACAAAAACACGATTCTTCTATTTTGCATTATTATTATTATTTTTTTTTTTTTACGCAATCCAAGATTTTATGAATTTATTTTGAAACAAAATTATAGTATTATAAACGTTTATTAATGACGATTCGTTTATTGTCGACAATTTTCTTTAAAGTTTACCGAAATTATTTTTCACAGAAAAATCAGTGAATCGTTCGATTCAGTGGCGGTAATATATTTTGTAGACAATTATAACGATTCGTCGTCATTAGTCAATATTCATTACACCTAAATTGTGGTTTACGATAAATTCATAAAGTTACTGTCTTGAACAGGTAAGAAGAAAAAATTATATAAGAATCGAAGTGCAATGCTTTTTAAAAATATTAATCGGGACAAAAGCAATTGCATTGGTCACATTTCCGTGAAACGCCCTATATCTATACTGGGTTGTTTAATTAGCGAATTTTATTTTCAGTGCCGATCAAACGTATGTATTTATGCATGTAATATTGCACCGTTCGTTGAGCTTTTTTTATTTTGTTCCGTTTTATTTATTGCGGACACGGTATAAGGAACGGGGGCATTTGGAAATATCACTTAAACGGCCGTGGTGGATTTTAAACCGGTAGTGGTTTATTGTCGGAAAGGGGAAATATAATCTATCGGATGTGTTGAAGAGCAGCACTTTCTTGGCACCGTACACGATGTACGTTCTCCCCGGGGGCGTGAACAGCGAACACGGTGCACAAAAGATAAACGCAGAGACCGAATCTTTGGTTCGATCGCGGCCGGAACGAGGGGAACAAAATGAACCAAATAAATAACCGAAGTATGGTGATGGGTGCGCGTTGTACGGTGTGTGCGCCCGCGTAAATTGTGGAGCAAAATCGCGAACAAAAAACACAACACCATAGCTCCGGCACTGGAGTCATATATTCGTATGAGTTGCCCCCCTTCCCCGCCCGGCCGACGTGTAGCCGTTAAAATATTTAATTACTTTTTGTAACCAATTTAAAATGATTGCCATAGTTTTGTTAGATTTTAGTCTGCAGGGATAAAACTAGGTATTTCCTACGAAAACGTACACGATTTGAGCGCAAAAACAATCGCATTAAAAGTGAAAACCCTCAAAATATACTCACACCGTGCATATACAAAATACAATCTCTACGACATCATTTGGGGGAAGGAAATCCTTAGCGGTGTATAAAGCTAAAAAAACACTCGTCTCCCGCAACGGAATTGGTGGAAATTCGTAATGGAATTCAACCAAAAGGCTATCATTTCAGTCCGCCCGTAGAAATCAACTCTAATTCGCAAGTTTGAACTAATTCGTTTCAGTGAGAGCCGCTAAAAGTATAACAGAAAAAAACATATACAGTGTCGGTCCGGCCATGGTCGCCAGGCCGTAAACGCGGCCGGGGCCTGCGGTCGTATTTGTGTCTGGGAGCACCTCAAAGCCCGACATTTATAAAACATCATCGTTTAACTATACTATTTTTCGTTAAAGTTAAGACTTTAACTGTTGATTATTGCAGACTGTAGTAAAATAACAAAATAGAATAATTAATTGTTATCGATTACTGTGTGAGTGATAATATTTACGCGCCAATTATTGAAAACTGAAATGACATTTTTGTGTATGTAACATATTGATATTATATAAACGCGTGCCCGCGAAATCCATTGTTATTTTTTAGAAATATTACCGACTGATAAAACCCCGACTTCCTACGAAATATCGCATTGATTTTCATGGTCTTTGAATTTGTTCATTTATGGTGCCCCTGAAAACAAAATTTTCCAGGGGCCCTTGGTGTGCCAAGCCGGTACTGAATATACGTATATGTAGGTATGACGGGTGAAATACAGCGCAATTGTCTTTATTTTCGGGGGGAATTTTATAAAAAAAAAAAACTAATGATAATAATAATAATAATAACATCTTTATTTACTACAGCTCTGTTATTCTCGACTGTGTTTGAAAAATAATTTTTTTCTACTTCTCGTATAATGTACGGACCGGAAGGCGGCGGTTGTGGCGATGTGACACGTCAGTCAATCATCCGAGTGCGGTGCGGTGATTTGAAGACGAGACTCACAGAGTAGGGTCGGCGCGCTCGGAAATCGCTGACGCGCGTGATGGGCCGTATATATATCGTTCGTCGCGCTCGTCCCGGTCCGTCCCGTGAGTGTCGTTATCGCTTTGATGTTTTTCGAGACGGACAGGGGCGGGCGAAGGCGAAAATGTGTGCTAAAACGTAGGAAAAAAAAAACAATAAAAAAAAAAAAAAAAAATCGCGTATATACGCACTGTGCAATATGTGTCTACGGGAGACGGATATTCGGCTATATATATATAAATATATCGTACCTTTAGTTTTTAACCGAAAATCTCGGTCCGATAACGGAGTCGGGGAGCGTATCGACGTTCTCCGTCTACTACGAAACGAGCTACCGACGCCAATGGAATCTGCCGGCATGGCGTCGGATATTCGTCTCGAGTTTCGGCGGTACCTTGTCAGCCAGCCTCTTGTCGGGCGGCACCCATGTACGCCGGGTTCGAATCTGACGATAATTTCGCTTGCGTTTTTCGCTATCGCTTCCGGGCAGACGGTGTCAGATTTATTAGATTGGCGCGTAATCGGTGTTGTAATGGGCCGACGGCGAAAAACACGTGACAGCGCAGCGTGTTTAATTCTGTCATCGCGGAAACGGCGTTTTGGAAAATTGTAAATCTGCGATGTCGCGACCAAAGGACGGCCGAAGCGGGTTCCGCGTACCGTCGCCCGTGGTTCGTTAGACGCACAGGGAACGGTAATACGCAGCCGGGGAGCCGGTGCGCGCCCGGGACAAACGGCCGAGCCATCAATATCTGCCTGGCCCTCGCGCTATGTGATTCGTTTGCGCTTTCGTCTCTGGGGCCCCCGGAGAACGATATCCTCCCGCCGCGCGCCTTCCCTGCGAACCGATCGGCGAAACGCCTAAATCGAAAAAATAAACGCGCGCCGTGTGTGTGCGTGTGCGTGTGTGTGCGCGCGCGCGCGCGCTCGCGTGCGAGCGTGTCGACAAGTCCGCCGCGAACCGACCCGGCAATCCGCGGCCACTCGCGTTGCGGAAAAACCCTGACGAGCCCGCCACGTTGCTGCCCATCATTTGTTACCACTCCGCAACATTTCTCATCGGCTCGTTGTTGCCGGGGGGACGCGTCGATTTGTCGCCGACCGTGTCGCCGTTTATACAGGGTGATTTTTTTTTTTTTTTTCGGCTCTGCACCCGCCGCCGCCGACGGTTTTATCGGAGGATTTCACTGTAAACTCTATTCGCGTTTTTTTTTTTTTTTTATCTTAATAAATCGATTTTTACGCCTCGGTACGACACTGTTGTTTCGATTTTTTTCACCCTTCTTATACGCGTGAAATGATCACAAACTGACGTTTCAAACGGAACCCGCCACTTCTCTACCCTCTCCGTCGACACGAATACGAAACAATTACAATTCCATACAATTTTAGACAATGTTCGTTACGCTATACATATATTCTGATCGTTAACTAATTAACTTAACTGGTTTTATTGTACAAGCTGAACTTTGTTAATTTTCATAAACATCTAGAATTTTAACCATCCAGATAAGTCAGCGAGTTGAAGCCAAATGATTCCATTGATTTCTTATTAAAGTAATACATAATACAAAAGTAAATAAATAATAAATGTGTAACACTTAACTACTGTTTGAGAACTTTGGACGCCACCGCTACATCACGCCACCTATGACTTGTACCAGGTCCGTCCAGTTCACAACACCCAGACGTTCCAATTCTTCCGTTACACCGTCTTCTTTTTCTGGGTATGCTCCGTGGTTTTTTCCCCCGTGGTACCCATTTCAGGGCTGCTCCTAACGAGTCGTTTTTTTCCGACTCGTAATGCGTCCAAGCCATTGAATACTCCGGCCTCTGATAAATTTCGTTACTGTTCCCATACCCATCAGCTCTTGTAGTTTCCTATTGTAACTTCTTCGCCAAGTACCTGTACTTAAATCAACCATTGAATCACACATTTTCTTCCACACTTAATGTTCAAAGGTCCTCGGCTTTTTTCCCGTTGTATGCATTGTAGGCCAAGCCTCCCGCTCATTACTATATAATATACAGTAATAACGCACAATAAAATAAAAACGATAAACAATTAACGTATACGGATAAATTATGATTTATCGTGTTCACGGCGCGATGTTGTTTCCACTTCCCCCTTAACGGACGCTTATCGATTACGATGTTATACATCACGGATAACGTCATAGTTATTAATAGGTTTACACGCGTTTTCTTTTAAATGTCGTGTAATTATGTCGAACACTCCGTATGTAAACGCATAAATGATTATAATAACGTGTATAGGTATCCACGTTATTCTCGAGAACCGCGTTTGAAAAAAAT